ACGCACGCACGCACGCACGCACGCACGCACGCACACACACACACACACACACACACACACACACACACTAATCTATACAACATTTAAGTTCCCAGTTCTTATTTACACATATTTGGTAAAACCCTGATTTCGACAGTTTTTAAAACTCACCTTTCATTTATTTAAACGTAAAACATGATTGATTGCAAATACTAAAGAGCAAAAAGACTACCAGCTCTAACTTTGATCCAAAACATTTGACCTAAAAGGCAAATTGTAAAGTGTGCAAGCAGTCTTTCTCCTGTTAGTTCATCGTACTTGTTTTTCCTCAAAGTTCTTTACTTAAACAGTTGAATATATTAAATCTATGGTCCCAAAGTACACAATGTAATATAGTGTAACAAGTATGGACAACATGTACAAATACTAAAATGCTGCCAGTAACCAAACTTCACAACATAGAGGTTGATAACAGACTGAGGGCAATGGGAGGTGTCTATCCATGGTTACTGTAGTTTTCATTACAGTTGGGGTCCAGGAAGCAGATGTTGTCTTGTGAGAAGTTGTTGCTGTTGTTATGGGATGGGGGCTGCCTTGCTCTGCTAGGGTTGCTGCTGTGACTCTGAAGGGAACTGCTGCTGGTGGCGTTCACCTGCTGAGCCCCTCTGCTGCTGGGGACGGGCAGATGCGATCTGGGTCTCGTCACTCGCTGAGGAGAAGCATGACTACCGTCGATCTTTACACAGACAGCAATATACAAAAAACAAACGTATTTTTAACAAAAACAGAGAATGCACCTTATACATGTGCTTTGTTACAAAAACCAGCAATCATGCTTTTTACTTTCGGAACCTGACTGTGGTGCTCTATTTGTGCACTTTACATAGAGCATTCTATATTGTTTATTGATGAGGCTCCATAACAGTTAGGATGTTGCCTTAGAGGGCAGCTACCTATGTAGTTGGCTCAGTAGGCTTTGGCACAGAGCCATGGTGTTTTATCAAAGGCTTGCCTTCTGTGGTGGAGGATGGGTCATATCCACGGCACTCTCTGTTGTAACAGGATTTGTTTGGGGCTGCGTGACCTTGCCATCACTCCTCTGAGGACTGGGTGGAATTGAGTCTGGAAGCATGATGAAGTCCTCTTTAAAAAGAGCAATCTGTACCAGGTAAAAGAGGATAAAAACACAGCTCGTCAATTCCTAGAAACTGCAAGGCCATGTGCTAAACTGTGCCAGACTGTTTGTGTAGGTTGAACAGAAAGTCTCTAAGAGAAGCACAAGCGTTTTTTTTTTTTGGAGTTTGCACAGACTAAATCTGAGACTAAAGCTGGGATTAAAGCAGCAAATATCAGCATTATGATGATTTCTGAAGGATCAAGTGACACTGAAGGCTGGAGTTATGGCTTCTAAAAATTCACCTTTCCATCACAGGAATAAATTATATTTTTAAATATATTAAAATAGAAAACATTTATTTTAAACTCTAATAATATTTCACAAAAATACTGCATTTACTGTATTTTTGATTAAATAAATGTTACCTTTGTGAGCATAAGAGAGTTTTTAAAAACAATTAACGACCCCAAACTTTTGAGCAGCTGTATATGTGAGTATTATTGTCTATTACCTTGCTTATGTCTGGCTCAGATTTGCTAGAGCACATGGTCTGGAGTTCTCTGATGAGATCCGTCTCATCATCAGAGCAGAGAGACAGACCCACAGCAACTCCATCACTGAGTCTACAGGAACAGACAGTACATACATGTACATAATCATTGAATAACACTGCCATCTGCTGGTAGTACGAACATAAGTTCTGGGCAGAAGCAAATTAAATTGATTAAAAGTCAGTTTAATACATCCTTACTGAATAAAATAATTTTTTTTAAATAAGCTGAACAAAGACTTTAACATTGCTTTTCTTCTAACAGTTGACTGTGGTGGTGGTTGGATGTATTCTTGTGGTGTCCATTGTGAGGCCGTACATATTCCTCGCAGCTACTCCCCTGGCCATTATTTTCATTGTGATGAGGAAGTACTTTCTCCGTACGGGTCAACAGCTTAAACAGCTGGAGACAGAAGGTAAGGCCAGATAGTGTGTGCATTCTTTGCATGCAGTTGTTAGATACGTCTGTGCAGTTGGCAAAGGGGTTCCTGACGCACTCGGCGTGCTGGCGTGTGGCTTGCTGCCAGGGATGAGAAGGCCAGTTAGACAAGGCACTGATGGGAGGTCATTGCTAGGTCCAAAAACAGGGGAGGAGCAGAGGATGGATGATTCAGCCAGAAAGAGAAAAGGATATCTCAAAGGAAGCGGCATGGGTGGGAGGTCAGAGCTTTGTTTCTCGACCAATCATCTATGGTCTATTACATCTCTGAATAAGACAGACCCATTTCTGTTGGTCTCTCTGTAACTCAGACAGGAAGAAAACTCCTGTTAGCCTCAATTGTCAACGATCTTCCAACTGTCAGCCTATCCAGAGCCACCGAGAAAGCAACTAGGGCTTTCCGTACTTTGTAATACTGGGTTAGCAAAAACCCGACCAGGGATTTCCTCTGCTGCTATCCTGATATCATTCACTCATCATCCACAACTGATGAGCAACAAGCTTCATGGCAGGGATCCCAGAAAACTGCGCAACCCTATTGTTTTTCAGACAAGAGGAACTAAAGGCATTGTCTTGTCTATAGAAATGGAAAGGAATGTTGCAAGGAAAGCCGTGGTGAATGAGAAAAATGTGATGATTTAATGATATCATGGGTAGCTGAACTTGTGGATTAGTTAATTTTGTTTATGAGGTCATAACAAAGGACAGAGGGCAGGACTTTTATTTCTTCCTTCCTTTTCCTGACCCCTTCTGCTATTGGAAATGTGTAGCACAGATGATGGCAAAATACAAGTGCTTGATATTGACAGTTAAAGGTAGTAGTTGACCCAAAATTTGATAACTGAATTGAAAATGCACTTAGATTATTCAGAAAATGTAATATAAATAAAATGCCAACAGTAGCATTTGTTACTGAAGCAGAACTGCATATACTGCAAAATCAAAGCCATCAGTTACACCTTCTCTTAAAGAGCAGCTAGAGCTCCTCCCAGAGGCGGGGCTTCCTTTCTTCCTTGGACTGGTATTGGCTCGTCTCCAAGCCCCATTATCACATCCTTTTCTGCCACCTTTCCTGTAGGCGGAGCCAATGGTGGAAAGAGGGAAACATCCTCCCTGGAACTCAGGTAAGAACCTGTTAATCTCTAACCACATAAACGGAAAAGAGTCAAATTTGTTTTCAGTAAGTACCAATAATGACTACACTGAAAGATTTAATGGCTGACGGTCAGTGTTATTAAAGCTACTTTGCTACTTTTTGCCCAGTACTGAAATAGCTGCATTTTTGTGAAATTATCTGAGTACTACTGTCACACTACTGATAAATATAGTTACATTAGTAGCAACATTTAGTTCAATGTGTTCCTCAACACTTTTGATGGTGCTGTACCTGTTCTGGGCAGTGGGCAGCCTTGCAGCACAGCCTTATTCAGCAGGATATTGAGAGCTGCTTTGACTACTGCTCTCTGACCTGGACTCAGTCCTTTGTTGTTGGGAGACTGTCGTTGGGAGGGAGAGCGTTTGGCTGTTACTCTAGATATAACAGCATCCTCGACCCGTGGAACTATCACTGCATTCCAAAGCCTCACCAACCACCTAAACACAAAGACACATGGACCAATATTAACAAATAATACTGCCTGACCTGTCATAGGAAATTATATAAATATCATTATTATTTAAGTTTAATTTAATTCAAATTCATGTAGTGTAAAAAATACATATTTTTCTATACATATTGATTCTGAATATTCAAAACCGTTTCAATACTTTCTGCAGTATCGATACAAGGTAGCAATTGTGTTTTGTCATTCTCTCTTCTCTCCAACAGTGAGTTGACACACACCACACTGTATTTTAATTAAATAAGAATATAGTCCATCGCACTGTGTGTTTTAGAGCTTTCACTATAATCATTTACAAGTATGCAGCTCATGGTCCTGTTTTATTACAATAGTAATATATTTTTGTCTTATATAAATAATAATAATATATTAGTTAGTAGTAGTACTATCTTCTATAAGGGCTTGAGGAATCTCAGACAACAGTTTCAGCTGATAAGAAGATATTTGATTATGGTCAAAAATATATTAACCTAGATACTTTTCCAATTTTGTCCCATGGTATCGAAAATGTTATCAAATATTTTTCAAAGAACTGTATTGAAGTTAGAAATTCCAGTATCGTGACAACACTAGACTGACATACTTGGGAATGGCCTGAGTCTGTTCTGCATTCACAGGGCAGGAGAGGAAGATATACGGTCCCAACAAGGCTTCTGAGGTCCCCAGACGCGTCAGGCAGGCATTGAGCTGGTGCCACACTGAGCACACCCAAGAAAGCAATTTGTATACAGGATCATCAGATGTCCAGCACTGGCCCTGAGCCTGTACAGCCATAGAAAAACTCGATTAAAGGGAGAGTTCACTCAAAACGAAAATTACGTAATTTACTCTCATTCCAAACCCATATTTTCTTTCATTTTGTCACAAAAGGAGCAATTTTGAACAATGTACTGTTAATGATGCAAAGCACCAAAAACCATCATTAAAGTGGTCCTTTAATCCTGACATCTACTTTAGGCTTCATGAGATTTCATGAAAGAAATAACAAGTAGCCCCATTTGTAAAAGAATTATTCTTTTGATTCAGATCTTTTCAATGAATCAACTGATCCATTCCACAGGTCCAACTCAGTGTTGAGGTTAACAGCTAACTGGAGGGGAAGATTAAGATTATTTTGGTCTATTTCTTACTTAATATCAAAATGAAAAAAAAAGAAGAATAAAAGTAAAGAATAAAAATAAAATTGATATTGTTGTGCAGTCATTCCATGCCATTTGAAGTCTCGATGTTTATTTGAATGATTCAGCAGTCACATGGTACACTCTGATCTAAACTACACTAAATATACTAAACGATCTCATTCTCGACTAAATTTAGAGCTGAACTGCTATTCTGGTGGTCTTCCCTGCAGCCTATTAGATAATGAGCAGGGCTGACCTTGTGGAGGAGTTTTCTGCGTAGATGACGTCCCAGCATGCCATTGAGGGGCTCGGTGTCCCAGCGCAGCTGAACCCAGCGGAAGTGCTGCTGTAATCGTAGCTCAGCACCCTGTAGGCGAGGCTTGGCCAGTGTGCCAATCAAAATGCTCCTTTCACGGAAATAGTAAAGCCCATCGTGACCTGTCCGTCAACATGAGGAGAAAAGAGTTGAACCGAACCACTCTTTCAGGTACATTGACTATACCAGCTCTGCTGCATCTGTATGGATGAGTCTCACCATGGTTGAGGGAGAGGGAATAGACAGATCCTCGGTTCTCCAGGGCTTCGCACAGGTCTCCCAGGAGGTGGCTGAGAGAGTGGGCTCTCTGCAGACTCTCCAGAACCACCACAACACAACGCCCAGTGCTGCCTTCATGCAAAGACACCAGAAACCCTGATATACACAACACAACTCGATCAGTACCAGAGAAACCACTAAAATTCAAAGATGTAATTATTCAAGGAATATTCTAGCTGTAAAGTTGTTATAGGTTTTAGGCATTATGTTGCAACAAAAAAGGTTATTAAAGGGGTCATATGATGCTTTTTTAAAGATCATTATTTTGTGTATTTGGTGTAACAGAATATGTTGACATGCTTTAATGTTCAAAAAACACATTATTTTTCAAATACTGTACATTATTGTAGGTCCTTTATGCCCCGCCTCTCTCAAACACGTCGTTTTCAACAAAGCCGAAATCGCATCATATGACCCCTTTAAGTTCAGGTTTGGTGGCTATACTATTGAAACAGTGAGTATTTTTTTACATTTACAAATTTGCCACATTCACTTCTAGTGCAAGTGCTCATTGTAACCAAGATTTTATTTTCATTTTTATAAGGTACAGGCCAAAGGCATGCAAAATCATCAGTGGCCAAAAATAATCATATTGAGTGTCGCAGAATAATCATAGTCATTTCTAAACATTTCAGATTCAACACGGTTTGATCTTGTTTCTAGGGGTCTGCTATCTTCTTCCTCTGCTCCTTTACCTACATCATCACTTGAGAAACATGACTCCTTGACACAGCGCTGCATGATTGAAGAGGCTCTTACCACAGTTGATGAAGATCTCCAGCAGGTGCTCTTTTGATAGACTCTCATCTATCTCCACCCTGACGACATCACAGCCAATCCCCTGGGCCTCCTGTCTGTGCTGCGAACATACAAACACACAACAGGTGCATCATAAACATCATGACTAGTACATATGGATGCCCACAGTACATGAGACAAACGAGACACTCTAATCATTAACAATTCTTTTGATAGCAGAATTTGAAAGAAACATTTGTTATTATCATAAATATCGAAATTAGCTGTGCGGCTTAATATTTTTATGGAAACTGTGATGCTTTTTTTTCAGTATTCTTTGATGAATAGAAAGATCAAAAGAATATATTTAAATATACATTTTTGTAACATTAGAAATGTTTATACTGTCCCTTTTGATCAATTTAATGCATCCTTGCTGAATAAAAATATTAATTTCTTTCTTTCTAAATAAATAAAAAAATAATACTGACCACAAATTTTTGTATATAGTCCCCAGCACGCTCCCTGTGCAAGCAGGTGGTCACGTTGGTTATGTTGACGGAAGTTAGCCTATTTTCAGGTGCTGCGTAATATCATTGCGCCTGCTGCACCCATGGTACGGCAGCAAAGTTCCTTGATTATTACGCCGGAATGAGAGTATAGTTCCAAGCCATATCGGCCTAGAAAATCGCAACTTTTCATTTTCCGTCAGTCTTAGTACACGATGTAACTACAGAAGAGTCAAATTTTAAATAGGAAAAATATCGAAACTCTTTGGTCATTTTTGAGCGAGATGCTAACGGTCTAATCTGATTCAATGATCTATGCTAAGCTACAGCTAAAAGTGCTACCGCCAGACCCGGAGATTGGCTGAATGGATTCGAAAACGGTAAAACTCAACTGTTTAACTCTAGGGGAGTTGGAAAATGAGCCTATTTTCAAAAATAGTGGAGTGTTCCTTTAAGTTTTAAATGAACAAAAATGCAAGCAATTATTTGTGTTTTACATTTCATCCATAGAGTTAAAAACTAATATTTAACTGATAATAGTTACCTTGATATAATGAGAGATCTGGTTGGCGATGTACTCCTGAAAGCTGCCCTCCAGCCCGTGGAAGATGACGTTATGGTACTGTTCCACCTGATCACAGGCAAAAACACAATCGAGTTCATCAAAATGCACTACCAGCACATGTATTATTCATTTAGACCTGCTTAATTTTATAATTCATGCCAAAAATTGTATTTATGCGTGACTTTATGCAGGCTTGATTACTCAAGTGTCTTGGAGGGTGTTTTGCTGTCTTAAGTTACTGCTTGTTGCACTGCATGTATCTTCTATTACAACATTTTAAAACACAAATAGTATCTGTTGCCCCAAGGTGCCAAACTGGTGGTGGAGGCTCAAAGAATGTTGTTTTGGTCCCATGGTATTATAAGGCCTTGTTTCTCTCAGCACTCTTTATCCAAACTTTAAAAGACCATCCAGAGAAACATGCTAAAAAACTCTCATTTAGAGAGACATGCTAAAAAACTCTCTTTGATGTAGAGAGCGAGTTAGCGTACCAGACGGACATAGTTCTGCAGCAGCTGTAGAGGGATCAGGGAGTCGTAAGTCATCTCATCCAGAGTGCACTCTGACAGGCCTGACAGAAAGCAAAATCATAGCAGCCATGAACCATAAATCAAACCTACACAGTTAATCAAAGAGCACACAGAGGCCATGGGAGATCAGGAGATCTGCGTGAAATGGATTTGAGCAAGGGCTTCACAGAGTTGTTTTGACGTGCCATTGCATGAGATGGAATATTCTGGAGCCTGGCTGAACATCAGGGTCATGTGATGAAGAGGAGCAGAGCGTGGCTATTCATTAAAGCGTGGAAACCCAAGAGATCTGCTGATCTGCTGAGTATATCTTTCTCCTTTACCAAGAGAATCTCTTATACACAATGTGATGCATTTTACAAAATACCTGATATATTATCAAAATATAATACATCACAATAAGGTTCAATTTGTTAATATTAGTTATAATGCATTACATATTACGATCTATAACCAATACTTTTATACCGTTTATTAATCTAATTTAATGTTAATTTCTACATATACGAATACATTTTTTAACACTTAAGGTTGTAATATACAAGTTGTATCATTCAAATGTTTGGGGTCAGCAAGATTTTGTTTTTTCATAAGAAATAAAACTTTATTCAGCAAAGATTATTCAAATATTCAAAAGTGACAGTTTCAAAAAACATAATTCAAATCAATGTTGTTCTTTCTTTTTATTCATTAAAGAATCCAAAGCGACTTACAAATGAAGGTAATGGAAGCAATCAAAACAACAAAACAAAACAGCAACAATATGTGCAATATATAACAATATATAATACAAGTGTTGTGACAAATCCCTGGTTAGTCAAATGCAGTACACCTATCAAGGTTTTTCTTTTAATAATAAATAAACAGAATAAAAAGAGATAGAATAGATAGAGCTAGTGTTAAAGTGTCAAGTTATTATTATTTTTTATAATAATTAAAAAGAAAACAAGTAGATAGAATAGAAAAAGAATAGAGAATGTTTATAGGAACAGTGTTTCGTATGATTTTTTTGAATGTTATCAGATTTTTTTATGTAGTAAGTATCTGATGCTCACCAAGGCTGCATTTATTTCATATTCATTCAAAGCATTTACAAATATAGTTAAAAGCGATAACATTTTTTAAATATTACATAAAAAAAAAATATATATATATATATTTTCTATTTGAATATATTTTAAAATGTAAAAGAAAAAGACTGAAAGCCCACCTTTAAGATGTATGGTAATACGTTGGCTCAGACGCTTCCGAACGAGGTCCCAAGGAGACTGAGGCAGCTCCTGCCCTGGCAACCATTCAGCATCACCTGAAATACACGCGCATAAAGATAACAGTTTAACAAGAGGATTCATTTAGGAAAGAGAGGTACATCGGCTAGATTTATGTGTCCGCCTATGGTGAAAGACATAGATGTGTAATCCTAACTGACATGGGAGCGGTTTTCATCTACAGTAATACTGTATGTCAAACTTGAGAGCCATGATCAATCAGCTTTTATCCTGCAAATCCTCTTCTCACTCTCTTTCCTGTCTGTCAGTCTCCTCTTGTTTTGTGTCAGGAATAGTAGATAGTCATCACGTTGCTCTCTGTAGGCCAAATAGCTTCCTTAACATCTTGTCTTAAGGGAGGAGTTGAGTGTAAACAAAAAAAAGAAGTGATGATAGAAAGAGTAAAAAAGAGAGAGGGAGAAGGAGTGTGAAAGAAATAAGTGAGAACTTGGAGAAGGCTAGTTTATTTTCAGCAGCCCTGCATGACAACCCTCGGGTTGAGCCAAGCTTAGTTAGTCCCCTATCCCACTTCCTTCCCTACTTGGCCCACTGTGCTGTTGGACAACACCCAAGAGAAAAGCCATTTTAAATTCATGCTCACTAGAGCCAGTGTCAGCATAACGACTGAAGAGCCTACACAAGTAGATAGTAATAGCACGTTTGTGTGAATGTGATTGTGTGAATTCAAATCATACTAGTGACAGTCATATTTGATATATATATATATATATATATATAGTGGGTACGGAAAGTATTCAGACCCCCTTCAATTTTTCACTCTTTGTTATATTGCAGCTTTTGCGTGCTCACGAATCCTCTCATTATAACACATGAATGTAGACATTATGAAAGATTCATTATGCATATATTTATTGTGTTATAACAGAGATTTGTGAGATTGCGATGAACTTTGAAGATGAAGATGAGATGTCTTTTAGAGATTATAAATGCAGCACTCTTTGCTGGCATTCTGCCGTGCCAAACCATGCACACAGCAGCCACTTGCTTTAGTTAAAAAGAACAGTGTTCTGTGAATGTTGATGCTTTAATAACAAATATTTATCGGTAATTTATCGGTAAGTAATTACTAATTACTTTTGAAATAAAGTAATCAGAACAGTAACGTGATTACTTTTAAAAGGAGTAATCAGTAATTTGAAATTTGATTACATTTTCAGAGTAACTTGCCCAACACTGATAATATTACACTATATTACCCGTTTTCTGTATTGTTGATCAAATAAATGCAGCCTTGGTCAGCATAAGAGACATCTTTCAAAAACATTTAAAAAAATCTTATTAACCTCTTTTAAATGGTAGTGCATTTACATTTACTTTTGGTTTTGGGGTGAATTTTCATGAGATATTTGTAATATTATTATTATTATTATTATTAAACACAACACGTAACACCTAAAGTTATGGAGAGAATCAAGTTAAATGGACACAAATTAATCTGAATTTCTAGGCAAGTACCTAGTTACACTGTAAGATATACAGTAGATGTGTTTACCTATAATTACAGAGGCCATGCTGTTGGAAGAGAGGCCCAAAGTGTTTGCTCTGCCCAGAACTTCCTCCAGTTCCCAGTTCCCACAAATTAGCTGGAGGTGATTGGTCAGCAGGTGACTCAAGCTTCCTGTTAGTTCTTCCCAGCTAGTATGGCGCTGAATTGTAACTTTGCCAACAGCGCAGCCATCCTCCAGGAGATCCACAGGGCAAAGACGCTCCAGTGAGCTCATGAGCACCTGTACAACCACTATGTACCAGTCTTAAGTAGGGTAGAAATCAAAAGTTAAATGGTAAGGCAGTGGTCACTTAAAGGGTTAGTTCACCCAAAAATGAAAATTCTGTCATTAATTACTCACCCTCGTGTTGTTCCAAACCCGTAAGACCTTCGTTCATCTTCGGAACACAATTTAAGATATTTTTGATGAAATCTGAGGGCTCTCTGACCCTCCCATAGACAGCAAGGTAACTACCACGTTCAAGGTCCAGAAAAGTACCAAGATGATCGACAAAGTAGTCCGTGTGACATCAGTGGTTCAACTGTAAAGTTACGAAGCTACGAGAATACTTTTTTGCGCAAAGAAAACAAAAATAACGACTTTATTTCACATTTTCGTCTCTACTGCGTCACTTTGGATGCGCGTTCACGACAGTACCATGACGCGAGCGTGTGGCGGCGCTGACCCAGATCCGGCATGACCCAGATGACGTCATTACGCCGGATCTGGGTCAGTGCCACCACACGCTCGCGTGTTTTTGTTTTCTATGCGCAAAAAAGTATTCTCGTAGCTTCGTAACTTTACAGTTGAACCACTGATGTCACACGGACTACTTTGTCAATCATCTTGGTACTTTTCTGAACCTTGAACGTGGTAGTTACCTTGCTGTCTATGGGAGGGTCAGAGAGCCCTCATATTTCATCAAAAATATCTTAATTTGTGTTCCGAAGATGAACGAAGGTAGTACGGGTTTCGAACAACACGAGGGTGAGCAATTATTGACATAATTTTCATTTTTGGGTGAACTAATCCTTTAAGTCAACTATCACATGGCCAAACCATCACATTTGTACAAAGCTCCATTGCTCAAACTATACTTACCCAGGTTCTCTAGTAGGTCTTTGCAGTCATCTGTGGCAACATCATGTATGGTGCGATTGCATTTATCCCTCTTCTCCATGTCCTGTTGACTGTGGTTACACAAAACCTCCAGGCATTTCTGTAAACCAGGAGATACGTAAGCATGCAAGGCATCATCTGTGTTTATAAGTCTCCTCTAACTCTTATTTGCTGGTGTGAAGCAGTGTACTCAGCATCGAATATGTCACCTTGTAGCCCCTGGATGCAGCAATATGGGCAGCAGTCCAGCCATCCTGGTTACTGTGGTTGAGAATTTGACTGGCCTTTGTTATGCCAGGGTGTTGGAGCTCCTGGTTGGGGTCTGAAGGACATGCAGGGAGATCCAGGTCTGGTTCAGGAGATGGGTGGTGTAGCAGGAGCTTTAGAGGGCCCACATGACCTGAACTGACTGCGGCGTGCAGAGCTGTGCAGTTGTCCTGGGAACAACAAACACTTAAGTTTAAGGGGTAAAGAGGTAGAAAAAAAGGTATTTTTGAGGAAATGCAATAATTGTGCAATTGTGTAATAAAAAAAACGAGAAATAATAATAAATAAAATGAAAATAAATACATTTTATTACTTATAAATTATACATGTTAGAATGTTTTTTTTAAATCCATTTATTTGCGGTATTGTTATACATGTAATTTTTTTTATTCCACAAACATACTAATCTACCAATAAACACACACACACTTACAATAAAGCAGATCACAAAAATATTAAAATGCACAAAAGATGAACCATCAAGCAAATGTAAAAACTACCTTAAACCAGTTAAACTCTGCCAAAATCGCGTTAAAAATGTTTATGCTTCATTTACATAGCCTTCCTTATATGGTATCAGCCCATATATGGGTTCATTTGAAAGCTTGGAGTGTCTGCTTTACAAAGAATATCTTTTGGTTTTTATATTCATAAAGCATATTTTTCACAAAAAAGTCAATTCATATATCACAAGAAAGCTCTCATTCTCAGGAATTTGACGATGTAGATTATTTCATTGTGTGACAATCACAGATCGAATGATCTTCGATAGAATCGCGATGTAAAATTTTGTCACCTCTGAGCGAATTTACATTTATACTCGTAGCACTGCTTCAGTCAGCCGCAAACAGCCACAAATATCTATATACTCTATATTATCTTTTAGATTAGGATCTCTTCTTTCAAACAAGACCATTTTCACGTTTCTGCGTGCTTCCATCGGTGAGATATATAGCGTTTTGTCCAGATTGCGCAATAGACGGTCGTCTGGGGGAAACGCGCTCCCCATATCAAAAGCGCTCTCAGCCAGCGCGTCTGATGTTATAGAGATCTGTGGTCGCTTGTGGACTGCAATTGGTCAGATTACATGTCTCTCAACTCGGCGGCCATTTCAGAGCCGTGAAATTTGACACCTCTGCGTCACTAGAGGGGGGAGAGGGGGGTCTTCACATTCGGGAATGTAAGCTGGGCGTTTTGGGGGCTGTAGTTTGTGGACTCAATGATTTGAAGGCGAGTTTCCCTCACGGAAAGGATACAGCACACGCGGCTATAGACCTTTAGAATTTCCCAGGATATATATATATTTTTTTCAGCCCAGTAAATTAGAGCAAACTGAGAAAACATCTAGGGCATAATTAAGTGTTTCTAAAACAGGGACCGTAATTAAATTCTGAGCAACACACAGACAGCGAAATACCCACGCTCAACTGTCAAGGTAACCATGGAGATGAAAAGAGGGGCAGTATTTCCTAACGTATTCAGGAACGCAGACATTTGAGTAATTGACATTTGAGTGACACTGGTGTCATGAAAACTCACAGTTGTGACATGTGAACAGTCTGCTCCTGCGTCTAGCAAGACTTTCACACACTCCACATGTCCCTGTTCACAGGCCAGGTACAGAGGGGTCCTTCCCTGCGAACACTCCCTCTCCAAATCAGCTCCACATTTCACAAGAGCTCTCACGCACCTACCAATGAGAGAGCAGCTGAGATTGATATCACTGCATAGAGAAACACATCAGAGACACAAAATTGTGTAGACCCTGGTTACACAACTGGGCAGCGCTAAACACAGGTCCAAAAGAGATTCAAAACGTTTTGTCATCTGGTTACTGGTCAATCCACATACTGAGGCAATGTGATTACATCACATTTTATTTTAAATGCTAATCTGTCTTGATGCATACCACCTACTCACCTGTCAATCATTTAATGCACTAAAGCAAAGGTTTTTAAACAAGCCTGTTACATACAGCGTTAAAAGAACTGTCCAATTAAAAAAAATCAGAAAAAAATCCCATACATTAGGGTGACCATACGTGCCATTTTCCCAGGACGCGTCCTGGCCAGGATTTCTATATTGCCTAAAATATCTAGGTTTTGGCTTTGTTTGCGTGTGCAGACCGATCGGTGTATGACATCAAAATACCATACAGACGGTTATGAGGGGCCGTATAGGCCATAATTATTGAAAAGCCTCTTACAAACACTAGTGAAACGAAAAACATTGATAAACCTTAGTGAAATTCATTCATATGCATTACTGAAAACCTCTTACAAACACTAGTGAAAACACTGATCAACCTTACTGAAATTCATTCATAAGCATAACTGAAAAACCTCTTACATGCACTAGTGAAAAAATTGATCAACCTTAGTGAAATTCATTCATATGCATTACTGAAAACCTCTTACAAACACTAGTGAAAACACTGATCAACCTTACTGAAATTCATTCATAAGCATAATTGAAAAACCTCTTACATGCACTAGTGAAAACATTGATCAACCTTAGTGAAATTCATTCATAAGCATAAGTGAAATAAGTAAATATTTCAGTAGATGATGAGAGCTAATTTCACTTGAAATGGAAGCTGTCAACACTTCCGTTTAATTTGGCGCGTGCTGTGTCAACACTTGCATGCAGCAGATACTTTAATAATAGGCTACTGTAGTCCTCTTGAGGAGCACGTCCAACATTGTTTAGCACATCCAACAAGTGTTTAATTTTGTAGACTTCTTTATTGTTTTCAATTTCTATTCAGCAGTTACCATTTAAAATTTGAATCTCATTGTTAAATAGGCTATATGAGATTTTTTTTCTGTAGCAATTTAAGACCAGGCAACAGTCAGTGTTGGCTTATTTAACTTTCACATTGCAATTTCATTAATACAGTGTACTGTATATGGCGGTATTTTTAATTTTGCACTGCACTGCATTGTTTAAGGGTTAATGGAAAACTTATGAAAATGAACCATAGTACGTATTTCCGCAATGGAAAAATAATGGATAATGTCCTGGCAGAAAATTATCAGTACATTTTACTCATTTTTTTTCAGTATGTGCTACAGTTGCACAAATATCTTTAAATGTAAAATTTACCTAATGCCTTGATGAATGAATCCATAAAACATTTTTAATTCTAAGAGGACTAGGTATTGTAAATCATTAAGTGCTTTGCAGCTTTCCGGCCTATTCAAAGCAGGTAACACTACTATTTACATGTAGTAATGATAATAAGTCAAAGAAATGCAGTAACGTAATACTGATTGTTATGTGCAGGGAAAAACACATGAACTCTAAATGTTCGTGCCGCGCTGTCAGTTTGGTGGTGCTAGCGAACACGTCCTCCCCGCGCTGTCGAGTCGCAGAGCTTTTCAGTAATGCGTATGAATGAATTTCAGTAAGGTTGATCAATGTTTTTCGTTTCACTAGTGTTTGTAAGAGGCTTTTCAGTAATGCGTCTGAATGAATTTCACTAAGGTTTATCAATGTTTTTCGTTTCACTAGTGTTTGTAAGAGGTTTTTCAGTTATGCGTATGAATGTATTTCACTAAGGTTGATCAGTGTTTTCACTAGTGTATGTAAGAGGTTTTCAGTAATGCATATGAATGAATTTCCCTAAGGTTTATCAATGTTTTTCGTTTCACTAGTGTTTGTAAGAGGCTTTTCAATAATTATGGCCTATACGGCCCCTCATAGACGTTTCCTTATGCTTTCAAAATGCTCTCGAGGTACTTTGATGTCAAACACTGATCGATCTGAGCCGCGCTGCTTTTAAGTCGAACACACATCCTATGTACGCGTAATTGCATCGCTTTGACCGTAGATCCCACCTTCTCACACACACCATGATTGGTCCATTATGTACAATGCCTGCATGTTATTGGTCAAACTACTTTTCGATCATTACCTTCAGCAAGCATGAAAACAGGAAAAAACAAAGCCAAAACAAATCCTGGCAAGGACGTGTCCTGGGAAAATGGCACGTATGGTCACCCTACCATACATAAACATGCACAAGTGATTTGCAAGTATACTTTTTGTAAAACTCAGTCTTTCTCACCTGACAACTTGTGATCAGATCACCTGATAAGTATGTTAATAACGGTGCGATAAGAGGCACAAAAGTGTCTGTTCTTGAAAACACAATAAAAGAGTTAAAACGACAATAGCGAGGAAATTGAGAATAGAGGACTCACCCATGGTGACCATTTTCAGCAGCGGCATGTAACGGCGTAAATCCTGTTTCATCAACAGCATCAGCAGATGCCCCTGAAGTCAGCAGCAGATTTAAGCAGTCTATAGAATAGACAAAAACTCATTATTTACATATTAATATCTACATTTTCACTGTGTGTATATATACACAAGTAATTCTACATCTATAGAAAAACGATCACTGGATAATGTCTTACACAAAAGAAAACCTTTTTTCAGTTAAGCACAATCTGCCAAGAACGTACCTGTGTATCCATTAAGAGCAGCAGAAATCAAGGCAGAGGTTAATTCATGTTGATGGAGATGAATATCCAATAGTGGATCTTGGTTAAGCAGCATAGACAATAAAGTGACATTTCCCTGGGAAGCAGCTTGGAGGAGAAGGGTTTGCCCGTCATCCAGGGGGACGGGGTCACCGCAGGTTAGCGAGGAGACTATGGAGGGACACCAGCCTGGGAGGGTTCAAGCAACAGCAGTAACTAGTGAGGCAGGGTGCTAGTGTTGTGTCAAAATGTGTTCTCTGATCCAAAACATTACCCAGAAGAACAACTCCATTTGTCATTCAGAAATAATTTAAGGCCACTGCCGCAGTGCTGACTGAGACAACTATTTTGTAGTTCAGTAACCAAATTACTCTCCAGAGAGATGAACACACAAAATTTATGTTCAAGAGGAAATGTGAAGCAAGCCAAATTTAGTCAAAACAAAGGGTAAATGTTTATGCGATGTACACATTTTGACACAATATTGGAAACATATTATTCTAAAGAGTTTATCTGCAATTCACAACCTCTATCCTACTAATTAGATCCTTAAAGATAAAGTCAACTTCATCTGCTTTTAGATCAGGTTAAAAACAAAAAGGCAAATAAAAGACAAAACACAACCGGATAAATGAAATCAGGCAGCAGGCAGTTTATGATAAATTAATCATGTCAGTCAAACTAAAACTTTCTAAACATGGAGCTGATTGTTTGAGACACGTCAATTGGACAGAGTTAGAAAGACAGAAACTACAGCAAAAAAAAAAAACTGATGAATTTTGACAAAGCACAAGGAATACTACTGGCTAATGGGTACCTATGTGAAAACAGAATTCAAATAACATCTTACAGTGTGGATGTAACTAGTCTAGCATCTGATGCATGTTTGTAAATAGCTTTGTCTCTAGGGTTTCTCTACGTTTATCTCAGTTAGTGGAGGGAGTTGAAGTGAGAAAGATAGGCATTGAGGTCCAGTGGAAAGCATAAGATTATTGGCTCTTTTCTAGGTTAAAATGGGCGGCAGAGAGAGCAGAGGAGCCTCAGAGAACTGCCATGGCTGAGTGGCTGCAGAGAGAGGGAGAAAAGTGCTAATTTTTAACATTTAACGATGACAGCTAGCTACCGAAATCTCTCAGAACTACCCTGTGGATTAGTCTCTAGTGACAATGAAGAGGAAGACTCTGCTGGAATACTTGCTCTGCTTTCACTGGCGTTACATTTGTCTTTCTCTGGTGCTCTCAGAGAGCTATGAAGAGGCCTGCAGAGATAGGGTGGTATTTCAAAATGTGAGAGAACTCTAAAGCTTCTGACCAGTTTCCAAGAGGAAAATCTTACTGCAATTGGAGCTGTCTCATATATTTGGCTTACATACCAATGCATGACTCTAACTAACTGACATCTTTGTCAAAGCTTTTTTGGAGCCACCCTGCTAAAAAAAACAGAGTAGGATGTTGTTGTACTGGTGTCTCCACCAGGCTTCTTAATTAGCTTAACCAGCAATACTTTACAAGAAAGACCATACTGTTTGACCAGTCACCATCTAGACTAACAACAAATTGGCACTAACCAATCGGATCAGCAAGGCCTTTATCGAAGGTATTGTTTTATTCTAAAACAGGTGTCCAATTCTAGTCCTTGAAGGGCAGTGTCCTGTACAGTTTAGCTCCAACCCCAATCAAATACACTTGAACCAGCTAATCAAAGTCTTCAGGATCACTGCAAATTTCCAGAAAGGTGTGCTGGAGCTAAACTTTGCTGGACATTGACCCTGCAGGAGCAGGATTAGACAACTCTGCACTAAGATATACATTTACAATTACTGTAGTATATTTCAGATGTAGAACTGCACACTATTGTGTAGAACAAATGCAGAGAGACATATTTAGGAATATTTAAGTACAAGACCTTGACAAACACAATTATATTGTGTTAGTTGTCTAGGAATGTCTTTAAAACCATGGAATTAAACATGAAAAATATGCAGAGAATGACACCACATTCACAAGTTTCAAGTTTCTCTACAGTAGGTGAAACAAAGAAACAGATGGTGGCATGGACACGGTGGAGTGGTAAGTATAAGACATTATAGGAAACAGGTTAGTGGTGGAACACAGGAGAAGCAAAACCATGTTGTAGGTCAATGGGAGGAAAGGGGATAGAGCAGCCTCTGGCATCAGCTTCAGAATGGATTACAGGAAAGACCCCTAGAGACCTGCCTTTCAAGAGAGGGTCAACCTGACCTATTCGTATCTAAAAGTGCTTTGGTGAAGTCAAGAAACTGTCCTGACATGGGTAGGTGCCCTCAAGAATCTTACAAATATTCTTATCTTGGTTATGTTGAAGTACTGCATTTCAACCGGCAGGTAACCCTAGTAGTGTATGAATACTCCTCTCTTGGTTGCTCCAAGTCTATGTCCCCCTCTGCTAGGACTTACTGAAGAATACATCAAGTATAGAAAAGCAGGGGAGTAGAGAGGAGAAGCAGTGAAAGCAAGGGTGAAGAATGGAGCACCCTTTTACCTGATGCTGCTGCCAGGGGGCTGCCCAGGTGCTGGGGGCTATGGGACGGAAGACTAGGTGGGTTTATGGAGGGGCTACTGACAATGGTAGCTGTGGAGGAGGTGGTGACAGGGGGACACTCCACACATGCTGCTGTCGGCTGCGACCCCCACGGCCAGCCGGTACAGGAAGCACCCACCTGTGACGCTGTCAAGGCTGGGACTGTACCGCACAAATCTATGGAGGGCTTTGGTGGAAGCTGAGGGGTGGCAGTTGATTTGGCAAGGCCCACCCCCAGTCCTGTTCCTGGGGACCTGCTGGCTTCACCTACTACTTTGATTGGTGGGTGTGGAGGGGAAGGTGTCTGGGACAGTCCTGGTTTTTTTGGTGGGATGGGAGGTGGGTTACCCCTGTCGATGCGGGCCACAGTTGGTGATTTAAGGCCTATCTGGGGGTGGCCCAAACGCCCGGTGAAGGGTCCCCCCTCAGATGCGGAGTGTGGCAGACCAGGGCGAAGGGCTGCAGGGGGCCCACCTGCTGGAGGGCTTGTAAAGCGGGAGAGAACCTGTGTGACTGTGTGGCGTGCCTGCTGTTTGGCTGCAAAGTTGTCTCGATTTGTGGGGGACAGGTCGCGGGAAGGGGGGCTCTGGTTTGCGGTTCCATTTTGGTCCTGCTCCGAGGCAGAGGGTTGGAATTTGTAACGGGCCGCCTGGACGCGTGGACTGACCCCAGTCGGCAAGGTAGCAGACACACCAGGTGAATGTGAGCCATGCGAATGCGTTTGGCCCTCTCCTCCATTTTCTGCCTGAGAGCTCCCGTGGTGTAGCCCCCGCCCCACACTAGAAGTCCTAGGTAGGTTCATGCTAGCATAGGTGGAACCTGTAGGCTTGACGGGGATAGAAAGTGGCACCTTCTTAGCCCCTTCATTTTCCAGCGGTACATCTGTCTGAGAGGAGGCAGTCTTGCAGACAGTTGCCTCAGTGCCCACAGCCACAGATGCCACAGTCTTGGGTTTAACTGGGGCAGATGCTGGGGCAGAAGGCAGTGGTGGGGCGTCTTTGCATTGCTCAGTTCTTAGCTGCTCCACCTGCTGGTGGAGATTCTCACTTTCAGCTCGCAGCTCTGCAGCACGCATCTCCTCGCGGCTAAGCCTGGACCGTAACTGCTCTCTTTCTGTGTCAAACTCGGCCAGCTGTTTCTCCATCTCCGCTTCCATCTGTTGGCTGCGACGTCGCTCGGATGCCAGTTCTTCCTCCAGTCGTCCCACGGAACGGCCGTCCTGCTCAGTGCGGGATGAGAGCTCCTCAAAGCGCTGATTCTCTTCGACCACACGAGCAGCTAGCTGCTTGCATTCATGCACCAGTGACATCACCACGTGTTTGTTTTTCTCTCGCTCATCCTTCAGCTGAGCCGACAGCTTCCTGTGTTCCTGCTCCAGGCTCTGCAGCTGCAGTTTCTCCATTTCAAGCTAGACACAGCAGCAGCAGGGCAAACGTGAGACTCGCAGAGAGTAGATAACAGACACATAAAGCAAGACACTGATTATTAAACAATTAAGGTATGTCAGTCCATTAGACAATGATAGTAAACCATGCATTGAAAATTACTTTAAAATCTAGTACAATGAAACTTGGAGAAAACGTCCTCAAATCAGAGGTCACTTTATGTTAACCTTACATAACTTTCTGCTTATGTCTAAGCTCCACTAATGAAGCTTTTGCATTAATTTATCAGTTGTAGTGTTTTTCTATGTTTCTATTCCACACATTTAAAAAAAAACTATTAATAAACCCCAATGTCTATTTTGGAGACTGTGGCTTAATTAGTTGGATCTTTGTAAAGTAGGTCAAGGGATCAGTACTCATGTGCTAAGGTGCTGGCTGAGCTGACCACATCACTCATGTGAGATAGCAGTTTGACCTTTGAGGTATCAGTTGCTTTTAATATAAAAATCAACATGAAATTGAATATCAAAAAGGGGGACACACTACTACCATCAACTGCTGAGGACACACAATACACTACTTGCAGGAAAGAAAAGTGACCAATTAACTCTTATTGACACTACATGTTACAGATAGGAGTGCAGGCTTTATTTACAGATTTAAGCTGCTTAGCCTATGAATAAATTAATACTTGCTCAGAAATAATGAGACAACAAAAGAAACCATTAAGCACAGTGGCTAGTAACAGACAGAAATCCCTGTGATAACAATACAACTACTGTATGTTTATACTATTCATAAACATCATTTAACATTTCCTCATTGTGACTGGTACTATATATAAGAGCTTTTACATTTAACAACAGTACCAATGCAATAAGAGAACTGTCACCATAACAAACCAAGCACAAGTGTTTATTATTGGAACAGAGAGCTCCGTTCTCTGTGTCAGTGTAACATGTAAATATGCATGCTATGTGTCTATATATAAACTGTATCTTGTAATATATAATAGGCCTATCCTAAAATTTAACTGAAGCCACTGAGATAGTGGACACAGCTGATATCTGGTCTACAGGGGTCACTTGTAAGAAGCACGCCTGTGTGTGCTTTTAAAGTTCATGGCCGGATTTGATATCATGTAGCTTGTATTCTTTGTAGCACTAGCTCAAATTGTGAAATATAGATTTACGAATGTGTTTGGCAGAGTGTTTTAGAGCTTAGCATCCATTTCTCTCCTTTTCTAACACCTCCTCTTCTTCTTTTTATACCGTCATTGCTCTCCTTGTCTGGCACTCTCTTTCTTACTCTGTTTTCTGGCATGTACTATGCTTATATGGAGGTTAGAAAAACTGGATTTTACCTTAAAGACTTGATTTCATGTCACTATTTGTGCCAGAACAGTATCAGCATAGATGATGTGGACACATTACTACACACCCCTGAATAGACACATACACACACACACACACACACACACACACACACACACAGCTGTACACATTGCATACTAGACTATATTCCGAGAATAACTAGGAACACCTCAGCAAACCTCCGACAGCAAACTTAATCATGTCAAGGTAATCCTACAGGAAAGGAGGACTTATTTCAGATAGAATATGCAAATACTCTTGCAATAAATCACACACAATCCTTTCTGTGGTCTTGCTCTGTTAAACATATATACATACACAATTAAACACACACACACACACACACACACACACACAGCTGTACACATTGCATACTAGACTATATTCCGAGAATAACTAGGAACACCTCAGCAAACCTCCGACAGCAAACTTAATCATGTCAAGGTAATCCTACAGGAAAGGAGGACTTATTTCAGATAGAATATGCAAATACTCTTGCAATAAATCACACACAATCCTTTCTGTGGTCTTGCTCTGTTAAACATATATACATACACAATTAAACACACAATTTGAGGTCTTACCCTTTTCTGTCTGCTCTCAGCGGCCGAGAGTTGGGCAGACATCCTCTCCTGCATCTTACGGCAATGGGCCATAACAGCTTCCAGCACAGTAATGGGACTCGCACTAACAGGCCTGCAGTCCTTTGACCCCGTCCCAGACTCAAAGTCCCTCTGCAGGGCAAGGAATGGGTCCGTCAGACTGAACTGTCCATATCTCTCCTGCAGGAACACTTCTTTCCTTCGTGCCTATTAAGAAAAAAATACAATAGATTGGTGAGCTTATTTATAGGAACATCATGTCCATTTTCTGGTTAAGATTTTCAATAGCTTAGCATTTTCACAACTGTCTGTATATAATATCAAAATCACCCTTGTGTGGACGCACACACACACACACACACACACACACACACACACACACATTTAAATATTAATTTATGGTGAATAATCTGAATAAGGTTTCTGTATATGACCCAATATTCTGATCAATATAGGAATACAGTATGCAAGCTGTTCTTCAGATTTCCAGAAAAAAAGCATATTGGCTTAATCTGGTTATGACGATCAGGCTATTTTTTAATTTTATTTACAAGTTTAAAACTTCTAGAGGTCAAGAGGTAAATACATATCCTAGCATCATTATGATACAAATGTGGTGCCTGTGGGAAGAGGGCAAATCATTGTGAAATAATACAGAGCTATTATTACACATTATGTTCCCTCGGTGATGCATGTACAGTAAGTGGTGGCTGAGAAGAAATGTCTTGCTGACTTAATGTGCTTCGGCCTAGAGACATGCAAGTCTCCAACCTCGCTTGTGATCTTACCCATAGGAAAAATGTATTGCTCATTGGTTGCTTTTCCTAAGCTCAGGAGACTTAGATGAGATTCTCATATATCTCTCATTTTAGTATCAACAGCATTTCAGATGTTTCTCCTAAAATTCTTTACGAGAAATGGAAGTAGACACAAAAGAGACATGAGAAATATCTGAGAAAAAAAGAGTCAAAACAGAGAATGTGGTGGAAGAAACATAGATATCTCTTTATTGTCTTGATGCAATCTCTATCAAGACTCCATTATAGGAATATTTTATTGCTCAGTGGTTGCTCTTTCTAACCTTAGGAGATTTAGTTGTGATTCTCATGTATTTCTTATTTTAGTCTCAACAGTGTCTCAGATGTTTCTCCTAAAAATCCTTAGGAGAAATAAAAGACACAACTGAGACATGAGAAAGTTCTAAAAGAAAGGAATCCAAAATGACAATGGGAGAGAAACGTGTGAGAAATATGGGAGATCTCTTTATTGTCTTGCTGTAATCTCTTGCAAGACTCCATTATGAAAATGTTTTACTGCTCAGAGGTTGCTGTTGCTTTTTTTATTGCAATGGGGTTTTCACCTGTAATGGTCAGGACAGCAGGAGTAGAGACAGGAAACAACTGGACAGGTGAGAATTGAACAAGAGCAGGAAAGTATCTTTAGCTGGGATTCGAACCCATGCCATCTGAGGTGCAGTTGTGCCTTCACATCGATGTGCTGCCCACAATGCTATGGCTCTGACAGAGCTTACTCTACGCTCAGGATACTAAGGAGTGATTCTCTTCTATGTCTCATTTAGCTATCAGCTTTGTCTTAAGATGTCTTCAGTTTTATTTTAGGAGAAACGTTAAACTTTTACTAATATT